AAAAAAAAAGGCAAAAAAATTGAAAGTTAGAAAAAATGAGACCAGCTCTACAAACATTTAGAACATCTTATTCCAACCCCTGGACAGCCTGGCTACGCTTACACCAGCCTTGTAAAATCCTGTTTGCCCCAGGTCGGTAACTTTGTCAGGCAAGCAAAACCTCCTCCCTCCCCCCAGTCACCACCACGGCATTAAGGGTGGTCTCAAGAAGATTTTTGTGCCTGGGCTGATAAAGTCTCATGATAATGTTGCAAGGCTGCACGTTAACAGCAATGAGCGCATTAAGACTTTCTTCATTTTCATGTAAAAACCTGTACCCTGACTCATTCAAACGCGAGCTCACATTTTCCCTTTTCCACCTAGAGTGCTTAACATTCACAGAGTTTTACCATCCACACTTGGCACAGCCACGATGCAGGCTTTCCCCAGAGCAAAAGTTCTAACAACATTGGTTCCTCAGTGATCATGGCAATGGGGTTGGTCAGTGCTAATAACGGTCATTGACAGCTGTCTAGCTGCAAGCTTTCACAGCATCCTTGTCTTACGGGAAGGAAAGCATTTTACAAGGGAGTTAATGATTGCCAACCCTGCCCCCCACCCCGCAGAGTGCCAGTCACATGTCAGGTGTACTACCACTTGAAGGCAAGCACTGTAGGTGCTAGCCCTGGTGGGTCCCAAAAACCACTCAGACACATGACTAAGGGAAAGGGTCATTTACCAGGGCTGGTAGGAAAGGGAAGGGCAGTCTAGTGGAGATGGGACTTTTCAGGCCTAATGCCTGAGATGCCCGCTCCAGTCCAGTCTCTAGACAAACAAAGAGGAGCTTGCGGGTTTCTAAGCCAGGCTCAGTTAGTCTCTCTCATTGGGGCCCCTCCGCATTGGCTCCTTACGCAGCCACTGCTGCTCCCCCACAAGTCCCACACAGACCTGCACCCAGTCACAGCCTGGTCCACACGCAGCTCTGCACATGGTTCCTGGGCCTTCTGCTTCGAATTCAGCTTCTCTCCAGCTCGCCACATGGCTGCTGCTTCAGCTTCTCTGCAGCTCCTGGCTACCCGGGCAGCTGCTGCTCTCATAGGGTTGCCAACTTTCTAATCGTACAAAACTGAACACCCCTGCCCTGGCCTTCCCCGAGGCTCTGCCACTTCTCCGAGGTCCCGCCCCTCTCTCAGTCCATCTCCCCTTCCTCTGTCGCTCGCTCTCCCCCACCCTCACTCACTTTCACCGGGCTGGGGCAGGGGGTTGGGGTGTGGGGGCAGTATGGGCTCTGGGCTGGGGATGCAGGCTCTGGGTGGAGCCAGGAATGAGGGGTTCAGGGTGCAGGAGAGGGCTCCAGGCTGGGGCAGGGGATTGGAGTATAGGGGGGTCAGGGCTCTGGGCTGGGGGGTGGGTTCTGGGGTGGGGCCAGGGATGAGGGGCTTGGGGTACAAGAGGGGACTCTGAGCTGGGGCTGAGGGGTTTGGAGTGCAGGAGGGGGTGTGGTGAGGGCTCTGGGGTGAGGCCAGGGATGAGGGGTTTGGGGTGTAGGAGGGGGCGCGGTGAGGGCTCTGGGGTGGGGCCAGGGATGAGGGGTTTGGGGTGTAGGAGGGGGCTCAGGGCAGGGGAAGTGAGTTGGGGTATGAGGGGGGGTTGCGGGGTGTGGGTTCGGGGGGGATGTTGGGGGGCAGGGGGGGACTCGGGGCGGGGGCGGGGGGTTGGGGGGCAGGAGGAGGTGCCCTTGGTTATGTGTGGGTAGGATCTGTGTCTGCAGAGGGATGACTTAAGCCTTTAATATCTGTGCCCAGAATATTCAGCCTTTGAGTTAACACAGTAGCAAGGCACCATGCAATCGGCACTGAGTAAGACTCCAAAGCACATTGCAGAAGGCGAGCACTATGGAACAAATACACCTGGCCCCTGCAGAGAGAGCCCGCTGCTTCTTTTAAATGGTTATTATTCCTCGTGAACAGATGTCAGGCTGGCAGCACCAGGGAAGGAGGTCCGCTGCTCTGCCCATAAAACAGCACAGGTTTACCTGGCGCTGCTTCAGCCTGGACCTTGAGGGACCACCTTAAGGAATGAGGCGGTAGTTTAACCTCTTTGCCAGTTAGAGCATTGGCTTCTCTGATAGGGACATCTGGTTCACTGGGTACTCAACTGACAGCCCACAGCCCTATATCACACAGGCCATTAAAGAGTCATCAGGTGGTAATGACTTGTAAGTCACTACTAGCTTTGGGCCTGATGCTCCCTTCTACCTGCCCTGCCAGAGCAAAGGAAAAGCTGACAGACTGGGGGTGAGAAGATGGAGCAGCAGCTCCACAGCGTACTCCCCATCCATTGGAGCCTTCCTTAAATGACAACTGTGGCTTGGGAGCAGGCATGTCACAGAGCTAAGGACATGTGGTGGGAGGGGGAAGGGGAGAAGAGGAAGATAGCTAGAAATGACCAGGTCTGGTTCTACTACTGCTTGTAGCATTTAGTCCTGCTTATTTTATGAGAGAATATTCTGAATTCCCTTATTTTCCCTACTTAATCAGTGCCCTCATACATTCAGAATAAAAAAAGAATAGAAAAAAAAATAGAAAAAAGCCCCGTTGTTTTGTTTATAGAATAAATTTTTAGGGAAAATGTGTGAAATATTTTTGGGGTCAAAAAAAAAAGAACTGCGCAACAGGAATCTGGATCACGGACAACGGACCAGATCCTCAGCTGCTGTGAGGGCAGCTCCGCTGAGATCAATGGAGCTTATGCTGATTTACACCAGCCAAGGATCTGGTGTAATGTTCGTAGGGACTTTTGGTACTAAAATGACCCAGATGTGTGCTGTATGGAACATGAGATGATCATTTTAAAGCACTTTAGTATTAGGTAATATATTAATTCACGGCATCTATAAAAGTAGCGGATACTATGGTGATGAACATGGTATAAGAGCCTATCTAGAACAGAAACCACTAAAATACTGACATCGTTTTTAATACAAAACTCTGAAGTTGACTGCTGGGCTTCAGGCTTGAATTCAAGGTTTACAAGGCAAAAAACTAATTTAGAAGAGAGCAACTAGGTTACTTCTATATTAGAAGCTAGGCAAATTATACATTTATGAAGAATTATCTAATTGCGGCTTCCTTATTTACTTAGGCATTTATAAAAGATTTAGATTCAGAGAGGGAATGTAGTTAAAATGAATTATTTGCATCTTTTATTAGATATAAATTAACCAAGGTGCCCAGACATCATGGTGATCAGTAATATAGAAACAGTAAAGAGTCTGGAAAGTTAAAATGTCAGATCCCTTCTTGGAGAGCTCTCAGATATATTGGACGATAATGTTTTTTTCTTCCACTATTCTAGTATGGATGTTCCATGAAAGAATTTGGGGGGGAGGAGGAGATGATGGGTCAGATGTTGATAAATTTGTTACTCTTTGTAGGGTGGCCCAAGAGCAGAGCTTCGAGTAGGCTCCGCAGCATGATGGGCCACATTCTGCAGCAATGTTAACTCATGCCATCTTCATGAAAAACACCCTTCACAGCCATCATGTAACCCCTACAAAAGCCACACACAACTGTGGCTCCCAGTTGAAAACAGTCAATGATGTAAAATTAACCAGTGGTAATTTTCAACTCTTTCTCCCCTCACACATGTGTTCTCCCAGCAGGAGTGCCGCCAGCTTTTCTGCCGCCCTAGGCGGCAGAAGGTCCCGCCCCGAAATGCCGCCTCCCACAAAGGCGGCGGAAGGTCCCGCCGCCGAACTACCGCCGCAGTTGCCGCCCCCCAAATTGTAGTGCCCTAGGCGACCGCGTAGGTCGCCTAATGGGTTGCGCTGGCCCTGTCTCCCAGCAGTCCCATATCCTCTCCCCAGGCCTTGCTCTCCCGGTGGTAACTTCTGCTCCCAGCATAGACGAGAGCTCGTATCTGGTTTCAGTGATTCACCTCCCCTTAGCCTGGGCCCTGGCTGCCCAGTGATGATGGTGGTATAAGAACCTACACAGAAGAGAAATCCGAAGGTCCTTATTCAGTTTATGCACAGTCCCTATTTAGGTGAACTCCTAAGGATTTCAATGGGAGCAGGATCATTTCTGAGCACCGTAAAAGGTGGAGGAAGTCGATAGTTGCCACGATGGGCTTGATCCACTGAAGTCAATGGAAAGACTCCACTGAGTTCATTGGCTCACGCCCAGTTCGCACATGCAGCTCCTGACCGCGTGCAGATGATTATGCGCCCACCCATTCAGAACGCTGGCTAGGCTGGTGGAGGGACTTAACAGAAATTAACACGGATGGTGCCAGCAAGGGTTTTCGTCAAAGGACAACACATGTGGCCAAAACAGAGATTTAGTCCAGTCCCAGGACCCTGAGTGGGAGGCTCCCTTCCTTCTCACGGGCAGGCTCCTGCATCTCTCTCTCAAGCGCCAATATATAGTGCTTCCTCTGAGAGCCAGTGCAAGAGCCAGGGGAAGCTGCAATTAGGATCAAGGTTTATTCTTTGCAGGCTGGTCACTGGGGGTGACAATCCCAAACACTTAGTGAGTTTTCATCCCATCTAACGGGGGCGATGGAACAGGTAAAGCCTGATCCAAAACCCACTGGCGTCAAGGGAAAAACTCCCAACGACCCCAGTGGGCTTTGGATCAGGACCTTACTCATCAGCTAGCATGTAACACACCTCATTTCCATGCATTTGCATAGCAATTTGCAAGGTGACCCACTCAAATACCAGCTCACGTATCCTTCCCTTATCAAGTGTTCTTTGCATTCACAGGTCCTCTGCGGTAGCATTAAATCATTCCGTTTTACTTCTGAATACAAATAGGGCTCTTAGCCCTCAGAGCAGTAGCACATCACTGATATTATATGTACACTAATCAGTGGAAACTCCATACACAGTCAGAAGAATTGGATCTATATAGTTTTTCAACACCATACGCAATCCGGAGGATGCTATCACAGGGACTGAGTAACGTGAGATAGTCACACATCCAAGAAAATTAACCGAATATGAATAGATTACTCACCTCAAGCACAAGAAAAGCATAAAGGCAACAATAAGCGCTCCTATAGATATACAGTGCCCCAGGTAGTTTATGATGAGAGCAATCTTGTAATGGAGTGCATACTTCCTCTGGAGGTAAAGAGATAACATGATTAAATCAGCAGAGTCTCGGAGCACTGACATTAAGGAACAGTTAATCAGTTTAGGAAACTATAATTACTTTTCTTGATTTTAAGATTATGTTATTATAGTAACCCAAGGGCTACAGTTTATGGATTAGCCAAGCATATTGTCCAGACATAAACAAGCAGTTCTTCTAACCACAACATATGTTTCAGTTTGGAATTTTTTCCATATAGATCTGGCCAAATAGAACTTTTCTGTGGAATTTCAATAGGATTCAGTATTACCTGGCTTATACTGTTTAAATCTTCACACCTTAAAGCCAGCCATGGTGTCAAAGGCATGGGACACTCTGGAAAGACAAACTTCTCACGATTCTGACAGGAAACGAGACGGTAACATTTATTTTCTTTGTTAGATGTCCAGATATTATTTGTTCAGTAGCCAGTGTTAAGGTCGGGCTGGTTTCCCTAATATGAACTCTAATGGTTAAAGTTTTCTTATGAAAATAAATAAAAATAAATAATATTCTGTGTCATTGAAGCACTGTGCAAACTAAGGGCCTGATCCTTCAAACTTGTATTTGAATTTATAAAGATTTGAAAGAGCTGGAATCTGGTGATCTGAGCACAGGACTGGGAGCCCCCAAATTCTACACCCAGTTTTGACAGTGACTTGCTCTGTGGCAAACTTTAATGTACATTTCTCTCTGTCACAGGGTATTGTAAGAATAAATCAGCTAGACTCTGATCCTGCAGACAAAGGTCTAGTTTTAAGCACGTGAATACGCCCATTGAAATCAATGGGATTAATTTTGTGTTTAACTGATTAATTCTCACAACAAATACATAAAAGATTGCCTGTCTGTGAGCTGCAGTCAGAAAGAAGCAGCCCATACTTCATGCTAGTGGGTGGCAGGAATGCAGTATTAAAATGAACACTAGCACTGGTAGAAAGCCAGCAAGGATTTTCCATTGAAAAATCTTAAAATAAAGAGAAACATTTTCCTTTTGTTCCAATTTTTCATTGAATTGGTAAGTTTTTTGACTAAATGGAAAATTTTCAGTTTCTCCCCCATTTCTATCGTTTTTTCCCTCCCCACACTTGGTCCCACTGGAAGGCAAAAGAAAAAAAAAAGAGAGAAAGGGAAAGGAAGCTTCAGAAAATGAAAAGCAATTTTTTTCGTTTGTCAAAACCCAACAATTTCAGTTTCCCATCAAAACTCCCTTTGGCCAAAATGAAAATTTTTGTCAAAAATTCTCATTTCAGTTGAAAAATCCTTTGTCGTCACATACAGGTTTTGAGGAATGATTTTTCCCACCAGCTGAAGTAAATAGCTTTCTCGAGGCTGAAAAATGACACCCACCCTGCAGCAGCTCTCTAGAAAGACTGCCCTGCAGGCAACATTTTCATGATCAAATCTACCTAAGTCTTCAGCAGATAACATAATATGCTGTCCTTTGAGAGAAGTAAGTTATATGTGGCGGGGGAGTTAAGTGCATTCTGAAATCCCTTAAACTCTCACTCTCACCTGCCCATTTCTGAATAGCCCTGAGGAAGAACAGAAACAAGAATCCAACAACCTGACCTTTATTATACCAATGTCACCAGATAACCAAAGGGCGAGGGGATGTCTTATAATTTGAACTGTACCTAACTCATCAAATGGCAGTTTGCATACATCATTCATGTAAAAATATATTGATCCGATGCATTACAGTCTTTATTTTTTACTTAAATGCCATTTGAGTGCTAAGCACTTTCTGGAAATAATATAATATTTCCTCCTGCCCAGATGCGCTTACATTGTAAATTAGATATTACTCATCTCATTTGCGTCATGACTATTATTTTAACTTTGCACATATTGTACAGTGTTACCGTTTTGAAGACAAACTTTGAAAATATGTACTCCCTTTTCAAACACTGGCACCGGAGAGGAAAAAGGACCGCCTTTGCTGTCGGTGATGCTAATAACAGACTCAGGTTTTCCCCAAGGCAAACTCAGAACCCGTAGAGAGAAGCATGGTATTAATGCCTGTAAAACACTGGGCTGATTTGGTGGTAAAGCCACCCACGGTCCGCCTATGCCAGAGTTCACATCACGGGTAGAAACTGGAGAAACAGCACCAGTGCTGCAACACACTGACACATTTTTTTCCTACAGCCAACATACCCTGATCCCCCTCCTACACCCCAACCCCCTTCTGCTAATGTAACACATTGGTAAACTGTATGTTGCAGCCCCAACCCCGCCCTTCCCCATGTCTTACTCACATAGAGGATAATAATCTACTACTGCTGCCAGACAGATTACGCCTTCAGTTCAAGTCGTTGATGTCAGTTTTGCACTGCTGAAGTTACCAGGATAAAATCCGGCTGCTAGCTCATGAGGCAGCTCCTAACACTAACAAGTGAATAAAGAGTCACATGGTATACAGAATAACATGGCCATCTCATAGCAGCCATGCCTACCAGACAGGCACAGCTCATGCTACACACACTAGAATGGGACCGATTGGCTGATATGACAAAGTGACAATCATTACTGATAACGTGGTCATGCTGCACATATAGCGACATTGTTTCGAGTCAGCCTCTATCAGTTAAACTGGGACCAGGTGCAGGAAAACCAATTCAGTGTCTTGGATTCACAGGGCTGGTCCAAATGGTCTCTTTACAGCCAGAGTTCAAACAAACGCAAGATGCCTTTCTTCCTTCAACAGACTCTCCCTGTCCCAGCTGGGGTCTGATTCCCTAATCTCTCCAAACCATCCTGGCCAATGACTCAACATCTGACTGTAATCATAGCTCCACTTAATCGAGCACATCTCCCTAGCCTGAGCTGGATCTCATTTTCTGCTGGTTGAGTCCCCAGACAGTTCCTGCAGAAAGGGCAGGCATCTCTGATAGATTCCCTACTGAACCCCTTTGCAGAGTGTCTGGTCATCCCGTACCTGCACTGAACTATCATGTCTAGGAGCCCTGACTGTTAGTGCTGGCACTGTCTGCTGCCTTGGTCTTACTGCACACAACACACACATTTTCTAGAGTCCCTTGAAGGGCTGGTTCGAATTGACCTGTGAGACAAAGGAAAACTAGGAGCCCAGTTGTCTATGCTACCTCAAGGCTTCTGTATTTTCTCCCAAAATATTCCTCTAGGCTCCTGGGGGCTTTGACATCCCATATACCATTTTGATACAAAAGCACATTTGTTGGCTCCTGCTCTATCTCCTAACGCAGCTACTTCTCGTCCCTTCTCTCTTAGGCTACGTCTTCACTACCCGCCGATCCGGCGGGTAGCAATCGGTTTATCGGGGATCGACTTACCGCGTCTCGTGAGGACGCGGTAAAATCGATCCCTGATGGCTCTACCGTCGACTCCGGAACTCCACCTCGACAAGAGGCGGTAGCGGAGTCGGCGGCAGCGCGGCAGCGGTCGACTTTCCCGCGTCCTCACCGCCAGGTAAGCTGACCTAAAATACGCAACTTCAGCTACGGTATTCACGTAGCTGAAGTTGCGTATCTTAGGTCGGAAGTTCGCTGTAGTGTAGACCTAGCCTTAGCAATGTCAGAACATGGTCGCCCACCAAGCTTACGCAGAACAAAGCCAGACATGCCCTGTGCGCAGGTGTAGCTACAGAAAGTCCCCCTTTTACAGCACCTTGTGCACTCTCGCATGGCCTGCGAACGAGAATGTTACTTCAAGCCAGTTACGGGGAAGGTTTCCATGAGGCGCAAACCTGCTGAGCTGAAACTGTACATCAGTTTCCCAGGATGCTACCGAACAGTCATCAGATCATAAGTACTCCTGGTCACCCAACAGTACAGGGCGAGGGGCACAGCCCGTCACTCAGGGGGAACTTGGAAGTTGAGAGGCAAGAGTATGATGCACTAGCCATCCCCATTTACATAAGGGGCCCCACTTCAACGGGACTATTCGTGAGAGTAAAGTTAAGCATGTGTGTTTGTGGAACTCCCTCGTGAGTGTGTGCTAAAGGCCACCCCCCACCCCCGTGTGTCTGTTAGTGCCCCAGCTAGAAGCAAGCTTTAGCAAAAAGCGTAGCAGCTTGTGCTTTTTGGCTCTGAGGTTTCCAGTTCCGTTCCTGGTGCACCAGTCACATTTGAGGAATCAGGGCCCAGCCTGCTTTGAAGATAAGGATTTAGGCTCCCGAGCATAAGCATCCAGGCCTGAAAATGGCACCTTTTTATATTAAAACCAGATTGATGGATGTGGTCACTTGGCACCAACTCGCCCATCTGTGGCATCTATTAGGATTATTCAGTAACAATAGCGCATGCATGTGGGTGCATCTCACTTTTAATCAAAAAGGAGATTACAAGGAATCTGTGGGGAACACATTTGTTCACAAATCAACCCAGGTTTTATTCTTAGGTATTTCAGGAATATTCATAAACTTTAATACTTGTAAAGTTTGTCATAGCCCTTTAAGGATCTACTAAATGAGTTTTTAAGCTTTTGCAAACACAGAAGGTTTGGGGGAGGGGGGGGAGGAAATCACAACTTTCATATACTTAAGAAATAGGTGGTTTAAGAAGTTTTATCGTATTATCATAGCTGTAGGATTTTAAAGCAACGAGCAAAGGAGAAAATTCCCTACTGCAGTGGCAACACCTATCCAACCCCTGCAAACAAAACTCATCTGCATTTGCCTTTACAAGGATGTTAACTGTTCAACGTCATGCAAGAAAAAGGAGAAATGGGTTTAGAATGTGTTTCCCTGGACAAGAACAGCAAACCCGTTTCGGCGGGTAGCAATCGATTTATCCGGGATCGATATATCGTGTCTCGTTAAGATGCAATATATCGATCCCCGAACGCGCTCACCGTCGACTCCGGAACTCCACCAGAGCGAGCGGCGGTAGCGTAGTCGATGGGGGAGCCGCGGCCATCGATCCCGCACCATGTGGACCCCAGGTAATTCGATCCAAGATACTTCGACTTCAGCTACGCTATTCGCGTAGCTAAAGTTGCGTATCTTGGATCGATCCCCCCCCAGTGTAGA